CCTGCAGGGGGGTGGGACCAGGTGACCCTGAAGGGTCCCTGCCAACCCCAAACACTCCAGGATCCTGTGATCCCTGGAGCTTGGCTGGAGGATTTCACTGCACCCAGGCAGCAGAGGAGCAGTGACTGTAGGGAAGTGTGGGTCCTGGTGACAGTCACAGCAGTGGGGACAGCAGGGGGGGTTCAGACTGGCACCCCAAGCATTGGGTGAGTGGGGGAGGAGAGGGACACACCACATGCCAAGCCCCTTGAGTCTCCCCCTTCTCTTCCAGGGGGAACACTTCTGACCTCAAGGCCTTGTTTGACTTTGTCCGGAGCTGCCTGGCTCCTGTGGGGGCTGGGGGGAGCCCCGTGCTGCTGGTGGATGATCTCAGCCTCCTGCTCAGCCTGGGGGCTGCACCAGTGCAGAGTGGGGGTGTGCTCCCAGCTGAAGGTACTGCTGCCTCTGCTGGTAATGGGACAGCAGAGCCTCTCCAGCAGAGCCTGACCTCCCTTTCTTTTTCCACTTGTGCGTGTTTCCTGCCTGTACTTGGCATTTCCTTTGTACTGGGCACTGGGGAGGCTGCTCCTTGAATCCTGGGGGCAGTTTTGGGCCCCTCCCTCCCAAAAGGACCTTGAGGGGCTGGAGCGTGGCCAGAGAAGGGCAACGGAGCTGCTGGGGGAGGGTCTAGAGCCCAAGTGTGGGGAGGAGCAGCTGAGGGAGCTGGGGGTGCTGAGCCTGGAGCAAAGGAGGCTCAGGGGAGACCTTCTGGCTCTGCACAGCTCCTGACAGGAGCCTGGAGCCAGGGGGGGATCGGGCTCTGCTCCCAAGGGACAAGGGACAGGACAAGAGGAAACAGCCTCCAGTTGCCCCAGGGGAGGTTTCAGTTGTCCCTGAGGAACAATTTCTTGCCCTGGAGGGTTGCCCAGGGCTGTGCCAGGCTGCCCAGGGCAGTGGTGGAGTCCCCACCCCTGGAGGGGTTCCCAAGCTGTGGAGATGTGGGGTGAGGGACACGGGGCAGTGGGGACCTGGCAGGGCTGGGGGAAAGGTTGGACTCCAGCATCTTAAAGGGTTTTTTTCCAACCCAAATGATTCTGTGATAAGGTTTTGAAAGGCTTTGGCTGTCCAAGAAATTCAAATCTTTGCTCTAGGGTCCCTCTCAGGGAGTTGTGGCAGTCCCTGGAGTACCTGCCTAGGGCCTTTGCAACTTGTTTCCCAGGAGGTGCTGCCCAGAGGAGGGATCTCTCTGTCCCCAGCACGTGAGCAGAGCTCTGAGGTGTAAGATGCTGTTTGTTGGAAGGAAATGGGCTCTGGAGGCAACGAGGGGCTGGTGGGTGGACAAGAGATGAAGGTCCTGTTGGAGGGGACATGATTCCACCAGTCTTCAGGGTTGCTGTGGCTGGTTTCTCAGGCCGTGTGATGACAGAGCACTTCTACAAACCTCTCCCCAGCCATGTGCTAACTTCTGAGAGCATCACAGCCAAAAATGGTCCCGGTCCCATCCATCCTTTGCCACTTCCACAGCATCTCCCCCACCCCCCAGCCCTTCTCCCTCTGCCTGAGGAGAATAAATCAGAGTCAGGTTTTGTCATCCTGGGGCGTTCGTGCTCTACGTGCTGACAAGGGATGTGCTGCTGGCTGGGAAGCTTCACCTCCAAAACAGCTAAAAAATGGTGATAAACTGTGCTAACACATTTCTATTTCTGTCCAACACCTTCAGAAGCTTTAAAGTGCATTTTAATTGGCTGGGTATTTCATCTTTAAGTCCTTGGTGGCTGAGGCAGAGGCTCCTGGGATGTGTTTTCACAGAGCTTGGTGCTGTGTTGGGCAGCTCTTGGCTTCTCCAGAGGGCTCTGCAGGGTTCAGACATGGTTGCTCTGGCTGCAGTCCCTTGGCCATGGTGTTAGTTTGCTGGCCTGATGGACTGGTCCAGCCAGAGAGCTGCCTCCTGACAAAGGCCTGGCCTGTGCTCAGGCAGTGTCTGAAATATCTGTGTCTGTGTGTACAGTGTACATAGAGCAGGCAGCTTCAGAGCTCTAGATACCTAACGCTCCAGGCTGGGGCAGAGGGGCTGGAAAGTGCCCCAGGGAAAGGCCCTGGGGGGGCTGGTGGGCAGCTGGAGATGAGGCAGTGTGTGCCCAGGGGGCCAAGAAGGCCACCAGCATCCTGGCCTGGAGCAGCACTGGTGTGGCCAGCAGGAGCAGGGTCATCCCCCTGGACTGGGCACTGGGGAGGCCACAGCTTGAGTCCTGGGTCAGGTTTGGGTGCCCCAGTAGAAGAAAGATCTTGAAGGGCTGGAGCAGATAAAGGGAAGGGCAACAAAGCTGCTGTGAGATGGGTTTGGTTTCTTCTCCCGAGGAGGCAGCAATAGGATGAGAGGCACTGGGCTGAAGTTGCCCCAGGGGAGGTTTGATTGGACATGAGGCAGAATTTCTCTCCTGGCAGAGTGGTGAGACATTGGCCCAGGCTGCCCAGGGAGGTGCTGGAGGCCCCAGCCATGGAGGGGCTCAGAAAACGTGTGGATGTGGCACTTGGGGCCCTGGTTTAGTGGCCATGGGAGTGTTGGGTTGAGGGTTGAACTTGCTGATCTGAGAGCTCTTTTCCACCCTTGCTGGTTCTGTGTCTCTGGGCACAGACAGTGTATGTACAATGAGCTGTTCAGGGGTTGTACAGGGATCTGCTGGTTTATTTTCCCAGTGGGGTCCAGGCTGGAGCAGGGGCTGTGCTGGGGGTGAGCAGCTCAGCTGGCAGGGTGCCTGTGCCAGCTCTGGGGCTGTGCCCCCTTCCTTGCCCTGGGTGGGTTGGGAGCCAGCCTGGGGCTCAGGGCTGCCTGGGGCTCTCGTTCCAGGGGAACATCGTGGTGCTGGTCCACAGCAATGAGGATTCAGAAGATGAGGAAAACAAGCTGGTTGTGAACTCCCTGTGCCATCACAGCGACCTGATCCTGTGGGCAGAGGGGCTGGCGACTGGCTTCTGCAAGGACGTGCATGGGCAGGTAACCCAGGGGAGCAGGGTGAGGTGGCACATGATGGGGTCACACACAGCACTGCCTGTGGGCCCAGGGTGGGTGAGAGGTGGTCATCTGCCCCATGGGAGACAGCCCAGGACCAGCCTGGTCCCCACTGCCCCGTGTCCCTCACCCCAAATCTCCACGGCTT